TACACTCCTCCTCATTCCCCTGTCCCGCTCCTTCCTCCTCTCCGTCTTCCCCCTCCTCTCCCTTCCCAACCCCCCCACCTTCTCACCCTCCTCCTCTGTCTCTCTCTCCTTCCTTGACTATCTCTCCTCTCCCTTCCGCTTCTTCCCTTTGTATCATCACCTTGCCACATGCGAGCCTCCCAGCTTTCTGTACATGTCCTGTTCTCCACAATCACAATCTGCTCTCCCTCCAACAACTCAACCTTATCATTGTGGTCAACAAACTCAAATTTCTCCCATCCCATCTTTGTTGTCATGCCCCGCACTGCCTGCACTCGACGTCAGGTACCATCTCTCTTCCGCTGCCAGTCACGTTGGAGAAGAATCCCGATACGCCAACAACGATCTTGTCCACCAACTGAGTGCAGTCAGGAGGATGGAGGGCAGAAGACGGGGCAAGGACAGAAGCATGATGAAGACGAGGAGGAGGAGGAGGAGGAGGAGGAGGAGGAGGAGGAGGAGGAGGAGAAGCATGATGAAGTCGAGGAGGAGGAAGACGAGGAGGAGGAGGAGGAGGAGGAGGAGGAGGAGGAGGAGGAGGAGGAGATGCGCGAAGGGGTTTGTACCTCGTATGTCACACTCTCCCTCAGCATCTTGAGCTGCCTTTTCACCGTGGTGATCCAACGCTCACCTACAGTAGAGACTGCAGGTGGGAAGTGAGGATAGAGGGGAAGAGTATGAGAAGGAATATGGAAGGGGATAGGAAAAGGACGAAGATATAACGATAGAAGGAGGAGGGAAGGAGGAAGGGAGAGGGGTGGAAGGAGAAGAGAGTAGGAGAGAGGGAGAAGGGCAGGCAGGAGGGGAGGAGAGGCAGAGGAGAGAACCGGGGAGAAGGACAAGGAAGTCTGAGAAGGAAGAGGAGGGGAAGGAGGGGAGACGACAACCATGGTAGAATCCGACAATCCTATTGTCGACCTCTGTCTTGCAAGGTGAAGTTGTCTCCGGGAGTGGGAGAGGAGGAAAAGAGAGGTTGAGAGTTCGCAGAGCATCTGAGCTTGAGTGATGAATAGAAAACTTGACCTAGTCCTGCTCCTTTTCATCTTTTCTCTCCTCTCCTCGCCTCTTCTCTCCTCTCCTCTCATTTCACCTCTCCTGTCCTCTCCTCTCTGTTTTCTCTTCGTTTCTCTTCTCTCTTTCCCTACTTTCTCATCTCTTCCCCTTTCCTCTCTTCTCCTCTCTCTTCCCGTTCCCCTTCCCGTTGATCTGCTCTCCTGTTCTCTTCGTCTCATCTCTTCTTCATCTTCAACGTCCTCCTCCCCTCCTCTTCTCTTTCTCACCGTCGAGCGGAGCAGCCAGGTAGTAGCAGGAGAGACGCGAGTTTTCGTTCTCCCTGCAGCGGGTCAGAGCATTCAGGAGGAGGCTCTAGAAGGGAGCAACAGCAAGGCTTAAGAACGAAGTCGACAAGGAGGAGGAGAAGCGAGGAATGAGGAGGAGGAAGAGAAGGAGGAGGAGGAGGAGGAGGAGGAGGAGGAAGGGTGATGATGAATAGGAGGACGGAAAAGGAGGAGGGCGTGGGGCAGTGGGGTGGGGGGGGCAGGGAAGGAAGATGATGATTGGGAGAAGGTAGGAAGAAGCAATGAGGAAGAAAAGGGGAAGAAGGGAGCAGGGAGCAAGGAGGAAGAAGGGGATCGAGCGCAGGAGGATCAATACCCTGAGAGCGGGGGGAGGTGTCGCAGGAGAGGAGCCTCGAGAATGCGGCGGTTGATCGACCTCGCAAGGAGTTCGCGGCTGATCTCTTGCTGCTAGAGAAGCTGAGAAGAACAAGACTGCCTCCTTCCAGCTGACCTCCAGCAGGCGGCAAGAAGACGAAAATTCCAGCTGGGACAGAGCTGAATTTTCTTCGAACGGAAGACCTCTCTCCTGAGAGAGAAAGTCAGAGAGTGGGTGAGCAAGAGTTCACAAACGTGAGGGAGGAAAAGAGAGGAGGAGGAGGGGAGGAGGGAGGAGGAGACAGAGGGAGCAGACCGAAGAGGGAGGAGGGAGGAGAAGGAATTGGAGGAGGGAGGTGGTGGTGGTGGTGGAGGAGGAGGAGGATACATTCTCTAGTGAGATCGTGTAGGTGTTGTACTCGCAGTCTTGGATCGTTGAGGAGATCAACACGGCGAGTTGAACTAGTTTCCCCTCCTGCGGATGATGCAGCGTCGACGTTCCGTCTTCTGAACGCAAACCATCAGGAATATCAGCACCCTTCGCATCCTCCTCCTGCTCCCCCGCCTTGTGCACCCGCTCCTGCTCATGCTGCTCATGCTGCTCATGCTGCAGCTGCTGCTTCTCCTCCTCCGCTTCCTCCTCCATTCCTTACACCCCCCACACCCAACATCCTCCTGTTCTGCTGCCCTACCCTCCTCATCTTGCCTGCATGATTGTCGAGACGATGTAGGATCATTCCTTCTTCGCAATGGAGTAGACATTCCTGCGAGCAAGTGAAGAACTCAGGAACAGAAAATTCCGTTTGTGTTTTTAATGCTCCTGCTCCTGCTTCCTGTCCTCGTCCTGCTGCTGCTGCTGCTGCTGCTGCTGCTGCTGCTGCTTCTGCTGCTGCTGCTGCTGCTGCTGCTGCTGCTGCTGCTGCTGCTGCTGCTGCTGCTGCTGCTGCTGCTGCTGCTGCTGCTGCTGCTGCTGCTGCTGCTGCTGCTGCTGCTGCTGCTGCTGCTGCTGCCGCCGCCGCCGCCACCGCCGCCGCTGCCGCTGCTGCTGCTGCTGCTGCTCCTCTTCGTTCACATCTTGATCCTTGACCTTGTCCCCTCCTGCGAACTTCCTCTTACGTATCCCTTACTTCTGCATCCAAGACTCGATTGAGACGGAAGGTGTTGCGCTGCTGTTGGCAATTGTGAGAACATCACAGTAAAGATGGGAGAGTAGAAGCAATGAAGAGCAGGCTGAGGAGGAGGAGGAGGAGAGTAGAAGCAATGAAGAGCAGGCTGAGGACGAGGAGGAGGAGGAACAGTAGAGGGAGGAGGAGGGGGGGAGGAGGACGAGATGCATAAGACAAGGGGATGGTCGAAGGTGAGAGAAGGGAGAAGGCAGGGAGGGTACAAGATTCGAAGAGCTTTGTAGATGGAAAAGGTGCAAGGATGGGTCGGAGATACTTCGTCGTCTCGTTACCTCAAGCGTTGAAATTGTTGCGATAGGCCAGAGCTTAGAAGGCCAAGAAACATCCTGAAGCAATGAGGTAAGGAGGTAGAGGAATCGGACGATGTCGTTGATGATGAACAGGTGGAAGATAAGGCGAAGGATATGGAAGGAGGAGGGAGAAAGAGCGCAAGGTAGCGAGAAGACGCAGAGAGAGAACGAACCGTCAAGTGATGTTTGCTGTAGGAGGAGAAGAAGACAAGCTCCTTGGCGTTGATGTTGTTGAGAATGACAGATCCGTTAGTGCCGACCTGACCACATGAAACGAGATGAGCAGGAGGGCAAGAGAAGGCGATGAGTGAAGGTGAAGCATGAGGATTGAAGGCTAGCAGATGAGGGAAGGGACAGCTAGAGGAGCAGAGCGAGATGGGGATACAGTGGAGAGGGAGAGGAGAGGAGCTAAAAGGGAGAGGAGAGGAGAGAAGCTAGAAGGGAGAGGAGAGGAGCTAGAAGGGAGAGGAGAGGAGAGGAGCTAGAAGAGGAATCGAGGCGGAGGAGATGAGCTCGGGGAAGAGGAGGTGGAAGGGAGGATGAGAAATAGAGCAGACGAGGAGGAACAACGAAGGAGGAGGAGAGGCGGCGGAGAGGGAAGGAGGCGGCGATTTAGGAGGAAGCAGAGAGGAGGAGGAGGAAGGTACGGAGTGTACACACATCAAAAGCGAAGAGCGCTAGCCATATTATCATCTCAGAAACTTCTCCTCTCGGTACGATCTCCTTCTTCACCACGGCGACTTGAGGTATGAGATACGACGGCGGATTATCCTGAGTGCTCCTTGCCGGCAAGAGCAGGGTGAAGGGGATTTTATGACTGATAGCTGCTGAGCCTGATACAAAAACATGTCGTCAAGACAGGGCAGGGATGTGAACTTAAAGAAAAGAGATGTAAAAAGACAGATCTAAGGTTCGAGTTCTAAAGAAGTGAATCTTGGGTCACCGTCAATCAAGGCAGCAGCTTCAACAAGATGGAATCCTTCACTCAGATTGTTGACCTGGAAGAATTCAGAAACCTTCGGCAAACACAACCATCAACCTCAAACGACAAATGTTCTTCCCTCCTTTCAATACAATCATGATTGTTGTAATCGCACAAAGTCGGAGTTTCTGCTCCAAGCTCTTGCCGTCGAATTGTTTTCGACGTCACTTGCTTCTCGTCCACAAATAGCATCACATCCTGCGCGCAAATCACGACAGGCCATCGAAGAAGAAAAACGCACTGACGAAGAGGAACAAGGGGAAGGGATGAAAGGAGAGAGAAAGAGAGAGAGAGGAGAAGAAGAGAGAGGAGAAGGAGAGAGAGGAGGAGAAGAAGGCTGAGGATGAGGAGGAGAGTGGAAGACAACTGGAGGTGGGGGAGGGGAGGAAGCAGCAGATAAGAACGATCAAGTCATCACCAGACTCTCGACTCCCTTCGGAATACGAGCGACGACAACATCTACTTGCAGCTTCCCTTGTGTTTGCAGGTGGAAAGAGTTTGCTGGAAGAGAAGAGAATCAGAGGAAGAAACACGTTCTTGCTCTCCGAGAGTTCGCACCCAACGGGTTCTCAATCATCACGAACTCATCTTCGAACAAGTTCACGTCCTGCCGTGAGCAACAAGTCAAGAAACAATTCAAAATGACAAGTCAAATTAACATGTCAAAGTGAAAAGGCAAAAGTGACCAGTGAAAAGTGAAAAGTCAAAAGTGACAAGTCAAAGTGACAAGGCAAAAGTGACAAGTCAAAAGTGACAAGTCAAAAGTGACAAGTCAAGCAACAACTTATTGATCTTTCACCTTGTCGACAAACAGCAGCCAAGACCCGTCGATGTGAGTGATGGAAGATAACATCGGACCGAAATGAGCCACCTGCTCGCCCTCACCAACAATCCTCCTCGTCCTCGTCCTCCTCGTCCTCCCCTTCTTCAGAAGTTTTTCTGTTGCTATTGCTCGTTCTCTCTCTCTTTCTCCTCCCATTCATGCTCTTGCTCCCGCTCCCGCTCCTTCTCCCTCCCTCATTCATCGTTCAATGCCAATAAACCTAGACATCATTTCTGCTATAGTTCATTCCCCCCCTCCTCGTTGCATTCCAATCTCTTCATCATCCACCCTCTTTCTACTCGAACCTGCAATGTGTTGCCTTCATCGCACATTTGTAGTCTTTCCCAGTTGGTCTGCCAGGGTATCAATCCTTCAGTAACTCTCCTCCTCCGCTCTTTCCTCCTTCCCTCCACCACCACCCTCTCTCCATCCACCAAGACCTCCTCTTCCTCCTCCTCTCACCTCCTCTTCTACCTCCTCCTCTCACCTCCTCCTCCCCTGCCCTCTCCCTCATCTCACCTGCTCCATTCCTGGGAGCGACTCTCCCCAGCACATTAAAGTTCCACTGACATGAACAGCACAAGAGTAGTGGGTGCTTGCTTTCACAGCAAGAAACTCTCCTCCTGGCTCCCCTCCCCCTCCTCCTCCCCGCTGCATTCCCTTTCCTCCCACCCCAACATCCCCCCAGCAAGTCAGCCTCCGGTAAGCATCCACCGCACAGGAATGATCCCAACCTGCTGAAACCTGCGCAATTCCAACATTCACGTCAACTCCCTGCATCTCCTGCTCCTGCTCCTGCTCCTGCTCCTGCTCCTGCTCCTGCTCCTGATTGGGTCCTTTTGCCTTGATACCTCTCTTCTCCCTGTCCGCTTTCTCTCCTTTTCGTTCACTCCCTCCTTCTGCTCTCCTTACTCGTCCTTTCGATTTTTCAAATTCCATTCATTCCTCCTCACATTCCTTCCCCCCCCCTGCTCCTCACCTGTTCAATCTTCCTATGAAAGCTTCGAGATTTTTCAGTCACAAACGTTTGAACTGTTGCACAACCCGTCAAACGGTGGTCATTCAAAAAACAAGAAACACAACAAGTGACTTGATGCTAATCATAATCCACATGAGATTCCCGCTTTCCACCTCCTCAAGCCATTGTCTTACCAGACCTCCTCTTTCATCCATCTTTACACCTTCAACTGTCTAACATTCATCATTTCAACAAATTCTCCTCTCCTTCTCCTCTTCCTCCTCCCTCCCCAGCCATCATCATTTCATGTTTCTTTCACGAAAACCCATGCAAACAAATCAACCTCACCATGCCCATCTTCATCCTCTAGAATCTTGGAATTTGATCCCCAGCAGACATTCATCGAAGAATCGACCTCGATCGCACAGGCGTGGTCGTATCCGACACTTACATTCCTCAGCCGTCTTTCTCTCAGGTGAACACTTTTCCTCATGATATCTTCATCTCCCCAGCAATGGAGTCTGTCAATCCCCTCTTCGATGGCGCACAAGCTGAAGTGCGAACAAGAGAGCTGTTCCAGGAATCAGGGGAGAGCACAGCAACTATGCTGGTGAATCACCGAGATAGGCACCAAGGGAGGGGGGGAAGAGAGCGAAAGAGAGGAGGAGAGCGGGGGAGGAGAAGAAATTGGACGAACAGCGCAAGGAAGCAAGTTAGGGTTAGAGGTTCGATCACCTTGGAGAATTTCATTCTGAACACTTGCTCTGCTTCATGAGATATCGGAGAATCACCCCAGCATACCAGCTGACTCAGAGGAGAGTCTTGAGGTAGCGAAGACACTGAAAGAAAACAGAGCTATCAAACATAGCGAGTCATGCTCCGCCTTCCTTCCTCTGTTCCGCTCTGCTCTCACACCCTCCTTTCCTGTCACCATTCTCTTGTCTCCTTCCCACTTCCCTTACTCCCATCCTTCCCTTGCCGCCGCCTCATTCTCTCCCTCCCTCCACTTTCCTATTCCACAAGAGAAGTATGCTCCGGAACAAATGTTCTTGAACTTCACGTCCTTGTAATCAGACGGGACTTGGGCCTGTCAAGTCAACACAATCACAACAAACCTTGAACCAAGGACATTCTCCTCTCCCAACAAACCTGCAAGTGAATGTTGTTGCCTGCATGCAACAATTATCAGACCAATTTGCCGAGAGCGACTTGCTTCTCATCAGCCTCACCCTGGCATCTCACAACTCCTCTGTCAGAGTCGGAGTCTTCAGCCAAGATCCCACACATGTGACGGTAACCAAGTGCGATCTTGGCCCACTTGATCTGTTCAGAAGCGAGCAGTCAGATTGGTATTATCGTCATCGTCATCGTCATCGTCACATCTTCTTCCCCGCTCAAACCATTCAGGTCTCTTCCAAAGCATCTCAGTCTATACGGCCAGTTAGCCAGCGAGAGCATGGCGACTTAGAGCTTGCCTGCTTCTCCAGTCTAGCGCACAGACATTCCCGAAGCTGGAGGTTCAACCCAACAAAGATGGAAGGTGAGTAAGGGGTCACGGTGGGTAAAGACTTACTCACCGGTTCGTATCAAAGCGATCCAATACGTAGGATGTCGTGCACTTTTGACTTTGGGCGTGACACGTGGATCCGTTGAGGGCAGACAAGGATGGGCTCAAGAAGACGGGAGAAGCAGCGTGGAGGGAGATGATCAAGAGGTAGAGCAAGAGGGGCATGGAGGGGAAGTAGGTAGAGGAAGCGAAGGTAGGTCAGGGACCGGAGAAAGAGAAGGCAACAGAGGAGAGGAGAGGAGAGGAGAGGAGAGGAGAGGAGAGGAGAGGAGAGGAGAGGAGAGGAGAGGAGGAGGAGGAGGAGGAGGAGGAGGAGGAGGAGGAGGAGACTCGCTCAATGTTTCGTCAAGGCTGCGGTCTCATCATCATTGCTAAAAACTAACCCACCCCATGAAAATCTATATTTAGGACGGGTGCAACACAGATCCCAAACTCATTGTCAGTACCGGTACTGTTTCCTGTAATATCCGGGTAGTGGTACTCCACCCCACCATCCCCAAACATCCCAAACATGTACATAAAACTTTTATGACCCGTATTCTTCCCAGTACATTGTTGTAAAAATGTGGGTAGGGGTTATAGTACCCACCCATCCATTTGATCGGTTGTTTGTCGAGGTGGGTACTACCACTTCCCCGCCAGGAGACTTCGGTAGGAAAGCGAATGCAAACCTTCAAGGAGGCGATGGAGCGATCATGGGGGGCGGGGGAAGGAGAGGTAGAGGCAGACATAGGGAAGGAATGCTGGTATAGATATGCAGATGTCAGAAGAAGAGGTGGGAGCAGGTGAAGAAGAGCAAACAGAATAGGTAACAGAGGAGATGTCAGTGACACGTCCGGTTGGTTTGTGGGTATGCAGGGAGGTGGGGAGAAGGGGAAGAAAGACATTTAGAGTTGAGACAACGACAGAGAGATCCAAGGACATCTGGACAAATAACTATCAAGCTTGATCATGACTATCAACCCATTTTGTTCCGATCAGGAATAGCGAGGAATCAAGTTACGAAGTGTGATCTAAAGCACTGAACCATGGAGCGTAATGATCGAGATCGTTTTAGCATTTGTGATTGTAGGTGAGAAGTTAGCTAAAAGATAGACTTGACATGATATGGTGTTTGTTTCCCATGACTGTTCGACTGGTGCAGCACAAACAGATGACACATCGTACATTGTAAGGCACTTCGAAAGGAGTTTGTTGAAATCGGAACTGTTGGCTCTTGGATGGAAATTGACGATGGAATCTGAAGTAGACTTCAGCACTGCTCCGAGCATCTTCCAATGCCCCATCTCCTTGAAGGTCATGGAGGAACCTGTGTTTGCTGCCGACGGTTTCATCTACGATCGCAAGTTCATAGAGCTATGGTTACACGAGAACCAAGTGAGCCCGATGACCAATCAGCCGATGTCGAGGGACGGTTCCGCCGATCTCAGCTTGCGAAAGAACGCCCCACTCAAGATGGCAATCGATGATTGGGAAGAAAAGAGACATCAGGAGCTGAAATTTGACATGATCCCCTCCATTGACATCCGTTTCAACACATCGCGTCCGAGGAGGCAAGTAAGGAATCTGTCTCAACAGGAGCGGGACTCGAACCCAACTCTTGACAACTACAGTGACGACGATCTTCGCCTTGCGCAGATCGGAGTAGGGCAAGACAAGTCGGTCTACAGAGGCTGGTGGGGCTCCAGGGATGTGGCCATTGTTCGGTTCCGTTCAGGCAACATCGATACAGAAGCTGGAGCGATGCTGAGGCTGAGCAGGCATCCGCATCTCATCACTCTGTATGGATTTACAACAGATGCATTTGGTAGCAAGTTCTTGATCGAAGAGTTGGCACCGCTAGGTTCCCTGGATGTTGTTGCAGAGAACCTCGCGCAGGAGCTCCGTGCGGATGAGACAGGTCGTCAGAGCATCTTCCTGGACATCCTTCACCAGATTTCGTCGGGAATGCATGGTGTTGTTGATGCTGGTCTGCTCCATCGCGATCTGTCGCTGAGAAACATCCTTGTAGTGCATCTAGATGTTAACGAGAAGAAAGTTCTAGTGAAGGTCTCAGACTTCGGTACAAGCCAAGCGATGAGTGTTCAGATGCATAACGACCTATCGATTCCTTGCCGCTGGACGGCCCCTGAAGTTCTCCGCAACCGCCGCAAGTTTTCGGAGAAGAGCGATGTCTACTCATTTGGAGTCCTCGTGTGGGAGCTCTTGTCTTTCGGTGAAAGCATGCCCTACTGGCAAGTGCAGGAGGATTCGAGAGTGATCGAGGAGGTTGCAAACGGAAAGTTGTGTTTAGAGAAACCCATGGGAGCGGATGAAGTGACCTGGAATGTAGCTTCCATGTGTATGCAGCTCGACCCCAGCTCTCGTCCTTCTTTCCTCAAGCTTCTCTTTCATCTTCGCAGTGTGAAGACACGGCTATTCCCGGTGAAGGTCATCACTCCCACTACTCAGCAGTTGAAGGTCCAAGACACAGCACGACACATCTTGAGTCAAGCTGAGCTGGAAGCACAAAAGCTGATAGATCAGGCACGATCAGAAGCGAGTCATCTGCGACAGATGGCAGAGGATGAAGCGTCAAGGATCTTGTGTGAAGCTCAAACCAAGGTAAGTTGCCGTGGAGCACGAAATTAACGACCACTTTCGTAGCTGCAAGATGCCGATTAACGAGCGTATTTTTAGCTGCAAGAAGCTGAAAGACTGTTTGTTGAGAGAGAGAAGCAAAACAGAAACGACCAGGTCTACATGTTCTCACCGTCATTCTTGTATCTGACTTGTTGTACTCGTAGAAGAACGAGACGCTAATTAAGGAACTCACAGAGAGATTAGAGAACGCGTGCGAAGAAAGAGACATCTGGAAGGTTGCGATGTTTTGGGGATGCAAGATAATGAATGATGTACCATCTAGTCTCATGCAAGAGACATCGAGAAAGAACTAGAAGCGGCGAAGATTGCTCTGTCCGACGCGAGTCGCATCCATGATGAAGAATCTTCGAGGCAGCTGAATGTTTTGAAGGCAAGTTGCAATGCGAGTGAACTCTCTTCCTCACCGACTTCTAGTCTCGGATTAGCATACTGGAGATAGAGCTGGATGACGCCAAAGTGAGCAGATGCACCTGTCTCTTTCACCACTGAGTCTGTATCAAGGCAAAGCTTCGTGCGGCCCAGCAAGGTTTAGACGACGAACGGGTTCCCTGTGGAGACTTCACTTGTTTCCTTTTGACCCTTCTTGTCAACAGCGACAGTCTTGGCCTCTTCAGCAAGAGAACGACAAGCTAAAGGTTCGCTCTCTCCTTCCTTTGTCCTTTTTGACTCTTCGCATCAGGAGAGAAACTCTGTGCTGGAGGCTCTCGCTCAAGCCGCATCGGTACAAGCGTGAATCGCTGTGATGCAGGACAGGAGCTGAATGATAAATCGCCCGCAGCCAACTGGAACCTTCGGATACGTCGTTGCCAACCATGATGGGCAAGAGATGAGGCAAACGGATCCTCGAGCCAAGGCTGGCATAGGCGTTATCTTCAAGGCCGTCCAGCTGCCCGACGGAAGAAACCCTCTCATGGTCAAGAGCTTATCCCCTGATGGTCCAGCTAAGGTGACTGGCAAGATTGAGGTAATCGAAACTCCAGTGATCCTCGTGCCCATCTGGCACAGTGACGTGGGAGCAGGTCGGCGATGTATTGCTGGAGGTGGATGGCAAGAAAGTCCGCACGACTGATGAGGCCTCGCATTATATCTTGGGGTGAGCTCTCGATATGACTCCCTCCTCGCCGTGAGTTTTGCCAACAGCCCCAAAGGATCTCCGGTCCAGCTCAAGTTAGAGAGGGCAGGTCATACATAGGATATTTCCCTCTTGATATCGTCCTGATTTGTTCCTCCAGGGAAAAGTTTTCATGTTATCATGTCAAGAGGAAATCCTGCAACCTTGGCATCTCAGTGAACGATGGATTTTCTGTACATTGATTGAAATTAGTTTACACTTTTGAATTGCATGAGTTTGGTATCAAACAAATTGTCTGCCGTGGTGGCAGCGATGAGGTCCATTGTGCAAGTCGGACCCTAGAAAGCTCGGCATTTAAGAACATCACTTGCTGTATGTCGAATCCTAACTGCCTTGCGATCGTGTAGATATTTTCGCCTTCCGTCACCTGTTGCAGGAAATGACGACATCAGCATGGCTCCTAACACACCAGATCAAAGCTCACATTGTAAAGCTTGCCTATATCCACAACCACACTGTTGTTGACGACGATGGCATCAGCCCGTGTGTAGTGCGGGTTGAGGCTGTAAAGTTGTATCCAGTTGGTCTTGAACAATCCTGCAATGTGCACGAGACTCTGTCCTGGCGACAAACTGTACTTGCACTTCAACACGTCGATGCGGATGCAATGCTCGGTCCATGGCCCATACAAGCCACACTGACCGTCAGTCCCCATCTCATTGATCACCATGAAGCACACGGTGATGTTCAACCTGTTCAGAGGTTATCGCCAAGATACGAAGACATCTCAAGTCACAAACCCAGAGTTCATGTAGTTTGGCTTCAGGTAATAATCCTGCAAGCCGCTGATCTCCATACTCCCTTCGTTGATCAAGATGTTTCTTATCGGTGTCCACTCGATGTTCACAATCTTCGGCGGAGTCGCGTTGACGAATTCTTGAATGTAATATCGTGACGACCCAACCTTTGCCGCTCGATAGGTCGTCCTGGCGAACGCAGATTCGCCATTGTTCATGAAGATCTACTCTCAAAAATTTCAGTCGTCCTATGACTTGATGACAGATCAAACCTGAGATATCCCGCTATACTTGAAGCGAGATTGGTATTGATTTAACAAAGCCAACACAATATGTACTTTTTGACCCATATATGCAGTTGCATCCAGCAAGTATTCAGAGGTTGTGTTGGAAATATTCACATGTATCTTTGGTGGCAGATTTTCTATAACCCGGATAAAGATGCATTTCTTTGCAAGATGTCAGATGCTGCATTGGGTAAGTGGAGTGCTCACCAGGTTTGTCCATTGTCCAGACGTTGAATCTCCCCAAAACAAGCAAAAGTAATGCATCCCTACAAAATCGTAGCACGGGGTCCATAAAAACGAGTCTGGTTGAATGGTTGGACTTTCTGTCCGATTCTGCAATGTATCATTGTTGTAAGTCATCGTTGTGAACAACGCCAAGTTTGTCGTGAGTTGTAACGAAGCCTGTGTAATTCCAGTCACTCCAATGCAATCAACGGGTTGAGTTGCTCCACCTCACAGTTGCCTTGAGTGCAAGTCCATGACGAGTTGCTATGAAGACTTGAAAAGAAGAATGCCTACCAATCACATCAAAATGACATGCTGAAACCATTTTCTACATCTACCGGCTCGTTTTGCAGATCTGAGTAGAATTCGATGGAAAATTGCGAGCCTGTCATTTTATGCAGTATGAATTCAATGAAGGTGTAGGCCGATGTCGCAGATTGAATCTGCATCAGTACGGGATAATTTCCAACCGGCAGAAGGGTGGATTTGAGACTCATCTTTGTCTGAGTTTCAACATCAATGAAAAAACGTTTTTTTCAGTGATTTGCATACCTCATAGACACCGGTGTAGTGGGACATGAATTGGTTGAAAGTCAGCATCGTAGCTATGTCCTCGCTGTTAGAGGTGCATCCTTGGCAATACTCTTGCGGACTACTGGCTATACTCCTATTGATAGTTCTGAATGTCAAGGATGCTGCTGGGTGCTTGAGGTTGCAACATGTGCTTGTGCTGCCATCGCAAGTTTGAAGGATGCTCCCCTCAGAAAAGGTGTGATACGATGAGAAATCCGTCTGTGAGACTTCGCAGGAGTATACTATGTCCACAACAAAACCTGCTGGAATCTGCAGAGATTGGAAATTGTTGACGACAGGAAGCGAAGTGCCCTTGTAACAGCCAGCAGAACCATCTGGGCATGAAGAAAACTCAACGAAGCTGTCTCGGCAGATGTCCGCTCCTGGAGGTAGAGGAGCACTGTAGCCTGAGCAATTAGACAACTGATAGAGCATCAAAGTCTCGCTCTCATTACCACCCAGCATGGGGACCGAGCCTCCTATCGAGTGAACTTTGACGATGGTCTCATAAGTTTGTCCCTCGAATACCTTAGGCAAAGACGGCACCACATCAAATCCTTTGAGCGCCTCCTGTATCCGAATCTCTTCACCTTCGATTATGGAATCCTTGTTTGTGTCGTAGACTTCCATCACTTGAAAAGCTTCTTCTGGAGTGAAACCATCTTGCAATAAAAGGTCTATTGTCAAACTGATGTTCACTAACCCATCTTGTAACGAATGGTCTGTTGTCAAGTTGCTGTTATTGAACGACGTCGAATTTTGGTTCAAGGAATTATTCACGATTGTCGAATTTTGGTTCAAGGAGTTATTCACGATTGCGGAATTTTGGTTCAAGGAGTTGATTACGATTGCGGAATTTTGATTCAAGTTGTTGTTGAACGTCAAATTTTGAATCGCACGATAGATTGCTTGAATTCTGTTCGAGACTTTCACCCAATTGAGTATCGGAGGAGAAGTATCTTGAGGTCTATGTTGTATCCTGTCTTGAATCTTCTTCGGCCAATGAGGTTCAGGCATCGGGACCTTGTTGATCCCAGCGTATGTCAATCGGAAGTCTACGATCGGCAAGATCATGCCCATGTTGGGATCCGAGGGAAGGTCGTAGGGGAAGAAGAAAGGAAGGTATGAGAACGGAGGAGGGTCTCTGTCTAGCTTAACAAGTGTTCGCAGGAAGAACTTTGTCCCGCAGTACTGTGAGAGGCCCGAGCCTGTCTGATCACAGCTCACTGGGCTCTCTCTACAGCATCCTTGCACTTCCGCTATGTAGCCGCGACTCCGTAGAGGCAGCGACACGTTCACGACGCTGATCCCCTCCAAGGTGTTGGCAAGCTAGCGGAGAAACCAACACTCAGAAGACAAAACCCAACGATAGGAAGAAGTTACCTTTACGTTCACGGACGCGACCACAACCTGCAGTTCTTGATGGAGTACTCCGTTGGAGATGATGAGGAGAGGAGGAGTAGAGCTCTTGCTGCGGAAGGGAACTACATCTTCAACTTTGAGAGATTCAGAGCCAGGGGGTTGAGTCCATACAGTATGGATGATGATCTGTACATAATTCGAACCAGCAGGGTTGGGGAGCCAGTTGATTGATCCTCCCCTGTACTGATAGGATTGAGCATCTACATGCCAGATGCAGGTGGTCAGGACAACCAGAGCTACGAGATTACAGTTCATATCATTGAATCAGTCTCGTCTAGTCTGCGGGGTATGTTTCAACAGACTTGCCATTTCCTGCAAAACAGAACAAACGACAACTGTCAGAGAATGCAGATGAATGTTTTCAACTTTGTTGCATGTGCACCTTTTGTGACTTCCTCATTCTCCTCTTCCCTGTCTCCCTTTCTCCCCCCCTCCACCCTCTTTCATCTCCCGTCTGTCTTCTCTCTCCTCTTTCTCTCCTCTTTCTCTCTCTCATGTCTCCTCTTTCACTCTCTCCTTCTTCTCCCTCTCCTCTCTCCTTCCTCTCCCTCGCCTCTCTCCCTCTCTCCTCTCTCCTCTCTCCCTCTCTCCTCTCTCCCTCTCTCCCTCTCTCCCTCTCTCCCTCTCCTCTCTCCCTCTCTCCTCCCCCCCCCCCCTCCCCCCCTCCCTTTCCTTCCTGCTTCATTCCTCCATGCTCAGAACGGCGATCAGCCGCCAAGTGGTGGAGGGCCGGGGGTACCTACCCCGTGATTTCAATCCAAATTCATGATGAAATAAGGGGTACTTAGTACCCCACCCTCACTTATGCATAATGCGGACTAAGGAAAGTGGGGTTCATGCATTGTCAGACCCCTCCACCTATTCTTTTGATGAGGAACGGAGGGGTGATATGAAATCGAGCGACTATGCGAGGGGGTAGGTGAATATGCAAGGGGTAGTCGGCGACCCCGTGGTGGGTTGGACCTGGAAATTGACTACATAAGGGGTCAGTTTGGGTATGATATGGGGGTAGGGGTACATTACCAACCCAACAGTTGACTTGACAATTTCAATGAGGGGTGGGGGGTGGTTGGAGTTGGTCGGGCATGGCGGGAAGGATCCGTTCAGAGCGAGGTGGTGGAGGAGGAGGCGCAAGAGAAGGCGGCAGAGGAGGGGGAAGAAGAATATGCAAATAGGCATAGAACAGGTAAAAATGCAACGACATCGGTAGACGATGTCCATGCTGGGAATCGAGAGGTCTGGAGGAAAAACTCTGGATAAGATTCATAATTCACTCAAGTGATGACGCTCGGAGACTGAAAGTTGCAAGAGCATAACATCTCTATACCTGCCGGTCGGACAAGTGCTTCATGCCTAGCCCGATGCCCAGTGTGTCCTGTCTATTCCTACTCCTATTGTGTTTGTCTCCTGTAGATAACCTACTCTCCTCGTATGAATTTCGATGGGGATACAACTCTGATGGCACGCCAAAGCACTGGAATGAGGTTTATTCTTCTTCTGTGTACGAAACCAGAGTGATGTCGTCCACAGATAAGCAGTTCCCCAAGTTTCAAATCTTATGATGTTGGTCAAGCAAGTCACGTACATCTTCACAACGAAGACCTCAAGTCGGTCCCTGTGAAGTGTTTTCATTCTTGACTTTCTCTGATCAGGGGGTTGAGGTTGAAGCGCGTGAGAGCATTTGAGCTTCTTGCAGGGTTAATTTCCAATCAATACCCGATTGACGACCAAATGAAAGGGGTTCTGAAATTGAAGATGGAGATGAAAAATGCAAACCCATGTTGGGAAATCGAACATCTACTTCGCAGATGCTTGGAAGCCACAGGGAATCAAAATGCGATTCCGAACAATTCTCGTTGCTTCTGGGCTCCAACGATTGAAGAGAGTGTTGCGTGTTGGTGCAGGTGAGTTTTGAAAAGCCCAGTTTGGACCTGAATGAACGGTGTTTTCAGATCTTGCGATTTTCAGAGTGCGATCGACATTTGTTCCGATGCGAGTCTCTATCAAGAGTGCAATGCTTGCCAGATGGGGCGCACTCACGAAGACTGGTTGTCATCGAGGTGAGAACCCGTCCGTGCTGAAAGTCAACGAAGCTCATACCCTCGAGCGCCAGGTGTCAGATTGGTGTATCATTGACTGTCCGAAAGAACATGCTCAAAGGCCGCACTGGTGTGACGGAAGAGCGATGGCATGCGGATGTTCGGTAGTCTTCATGAATGTCTGTGTGAGAGAGTCGATCTAACGTAGCTCTGCAGTGAAAGGGCCTTGTATCAATTCGCCATTGCCGCATCTCAGCGAATTGACCCGTCGGAAGATGTTTCCAAGTCGTTCATGAGAGATTCCCAGATTGCAAGAGAGGATTCAGAGACGCTGAATGTTGAAAGTCATCGTGCAAATGACTCTCTTTTTCCTTTTCAATACTTCTCCAGTTCTGGCCTGCAATTGTTTCCCAATACCGTGGTACTTTACTTCACAATCGCTTGTTCCGTAGTTTATATTTTCACGCTCTTGGCTATGCGGGTGTATGCACGCAGAGTAGCAAGCCTCAAAGTTAAGAAGCTAACAAAGGCAACAGAACTCTCAGCTGATCCAAAGCCCAAGGAAGAAACAGGTCAAGAAGATGAAGCATCTGAAGAGAAGGATCAGGAGAAGGAAGTAAGTGATGAACAGTCCAGCCCACGGTCAGCATCATCGACAGATCAGAAGGAAACTACTCCTGTCTCAACAGACTCGGACGACACACAGATTGTGAATGCTGAGAAAGTCATCGACGAGGCGAAGGGCGACAAGGAGAACAATGAAAGTAACGGAAGAAACCGTCACGTAAGCCGCGCAGAGCACCCAAGGATCACACCAAACAGATCAGACAAGCTTCTCCGAAAGAGCCTCTCGCCAGCTAACAAACCCGATACGGTTTTAGGGGCCGATTGGCTCATTTCCAACATGAACAATGACAGAAGCTCGAGCCCTCGCAGTGTCAACTCATCGCCCATAGATAGACAGAAGAGCCCAGTAGAATCAGAACTCAAGGCCCGCAAGTCCGACGACGCATCGAAAGAAGCTTTGGCTAAGGAGAACGAGAAGCTCAGGCTGCAGATCGAGGCGATGACCAAGAATGAGAAAGCCAAGATGTCCTTATCGAGAACCCCATATCATGCTGACATGAATCCGCTTCATGCAAAGGCTCCTTCTCACAGTACTTATTCTTCCTCCTCTCCGACAAAAGGAAGCAATCTCTTTGCCTGGACTCCGAAGAAGACTTCCAAGCTGAAAGTCGCCGATCCTATCAAGGCGAACGGTCAAGAAGTCCAAACTCCGAGAAAGGTAGTTCAAACTCCTGTTATGGCAAGCACATCAGGCCAGGAACAATCAGAAACCCAAAGTCAACGGGAACCAATCCTCGGGCAGATATTGGTCCCAGAAGTGCCAAAAGCTCAGCATGCATCTGGCTGTGGTCAGCGAGATGGAAATGCTGCAATGGTCAGCCCCAGTTCTAAGAGCCCTGCCACCGACGTTTCAGTCGGAACTCCTCCTCCTCCTCCTCCTCCTCCTCCTCCTCCTCCTCCCCCCAACTTTTCAAGCTCAAATTCTCCCTGTACAACACCACCTCCCCCTCCCCCTCCCCCTCCTCCCCCACTCTTGCTATCTGCTTCCTCACCTCACAACAAGGGCACACCACACCCTGCTTCTCCCTTACCACCGCCACCGCCACCGCCGCCTCCTCAAGGGTTGTCGGGGGAGGCCTCCAAGGTATCGCCTGCTGGACGCGCCGCAACGTCGAGCTCGTCAGGCATCGCCAAGTCATGGGAGGTGATCAAGAAGTACCAAGACCTGACCCGCAACATCGAACGAGTTGACAAACCCTTGCAAAAGGTGAGAAACCTCCTCCTCTCTCTCCCCTCCCTCCTCCCTCCTCCCTCCTCCCTCCTCCCTCCTCCCTCCTCCTTGCTCTCCCTCCCTCCTCCCTCCTCCCCTCTCTCCTCTCTCCTCTCTCCTCTCTCCCCTCCCACTCCCCTCTCTCCTCCTCCCCTCCCCTCTCTCCTCTCCCCTCCCACTCCCCTCCCCACTCCTTCTCCCTCCTTTCTCCCTCCTCTCCTCCTCCTCTTTCCCCTCCTCTTTCCTCGTCAAGCTCAGCTGTACTCCAGGTGGTCAGGAAGAAAGTGTCCTCGTCTCAGTCGGAGGCGAATACAGAAGAAGGCAACAAGGAGAACGAGTCCTCCTCAGGCTCTGCAGACGTTGGCAACGCACAGAAGGGAGTGAAGGAGGAGCTGGAAGGCAGAAGCTCTTACATGAAGCAAGTTATGAGCGACAGGAGCATCTTCGAGCCTATGATCTTGGACCTCATCCCTCAGATCCAATCCTTTGCTCCTCAAGACCTTACCCAGGTCGAAATCTTCGTTGCGGAGGTCGATCGCCGGCTCGCTCTCCTCTCTGATGAGAGGATGGTGCTCAAGGTGAGTCAAACCAACTAAGCATCTCCTCCTCCTCCTCCTCCTCCTCCCCCTGCTCCTCCTCCTCGTCCTTTTCCACTCCTCCTTTGGCTTTGCCTCCTGTTCCATCGTTCTCAGTTCCCCTCCCCTCCCATTGCATGCATTCCTCGTCTCCTCGCTCCCTTCCCTACTTACCCTGACCCGCTTCAATTGTCCTCCAGGGCTTCGCTGCTTGGCCGGAGAAGAAGCTGGAAGTTCTCCGGGAGGTGACAGGGAGGAAGCAGGAGCTGGAGCGTTTGGTCGCCTCTATGGACCCCGAGGACGACAGGTGGATAGCAAAGTCTGCGATCCACGAGGAGCTCCAGCAGGCCGTTGACAAATTCGAGTCTGTCAAACCGACGGTCGAGTGGTACATCCGATCTGAGGAGGAGATCATGCGGAACTACAAGACACACAGTATTCCGTTCGACTTCAAGGTTGCTGCTGCCCCTCCCTCCCCTCCCCTTCCTCCCCCATGCCCCCGTTGCCCTCCTCCCCTTCCCATCCTCCCCATCCTCCCCATCCTTCCCGTAATCCCTCTTGCCCACCTTTCCCCCTTTCCCTCCTCCCCCCACCTCTCGTTTCTCCTCACATGCCCTCCCTTGTTCCCTTGTTCCCCCTCCCTCTTCTTGTTTCCTCTGCCTCCCTTACCCTCCTGCTCGACCTCTTACTTCCCCACCTTGTCCCCTCCTTTGCCTTGCTATCTCCCAGCTGAAGTTTCTCCCAGCTTGTCAAGAATGTTCAAATCGCAACGGTTGGCCTTGCCAAGTATGCCATGCAGATGTCGCTCACGGCCTTCGGGAGGCAGAGCAGAGCAGAGCAAATGATTCTGAGCACAGGTTCTCTGCATCTTCATGGACGGCATTCGCGCGCCCATCACGATTGCAGATCTTGTAAACCAGGGAGCGTCCAAGCAAATTCTAGTGGCGCTGCAAGGAGACGCAGTGATACGGGGAAGAGATGGGAAGGAGAACGATCGTTGGCTGCCGCTCGGAGTTCACAATCAGCTGACGAACA